GCCCACGCACAAACTCCGGCTTGCGGCCGCAGTACTTCGCCGCAATTTCCGCCTCACTCATGCCCTTCGCGACGGCCCGCAAGTCCCTCCAGTCGCGCTCCGTGCAGTAGTCCCCCTCCGCCGCCCAGCCCCCGCCGGCGGCGCAGCACAGCACGCAGAGGGCGCACACCAACAGCGCACGGCCAGCCATCGCCACACTCCTCCCACCGCAACACACACACACGCACAGCGTCTAGCGAGAGGCAGAAAGAAGGAGAGAGAAAAAGGGGCAAACACACACACAGATATGGGCAGCCCGCTGAATGGGTGCATTCAACCAACACACACACAGACAAACAGTGAAAGAAGAAATGCTAGAGGCATTGCCGTCCCGTTAAGGAGAAAAAGTAGCAGCAACGGCAGAAGACGGTTTTGTGTACGTTCCACAGCATGCGCCCTCACGATAGTCCGCAGCGGCAAACCGCACACCGCCGCGAGGCTCAAGGGCACTTTTTTCCCTCCCGCCACACTCACACACACACGCGGACGAAGTGGACGTACCGGCGACCCCCACCCCGCCCCTCCCGCGGCCCCCTTCGCAGCGCCCACGTCGTTTGCTCCCCACCCCCGGCGGGACTCTCGCCGGACGCCACGCAGCCCCACGCGGCACCCACCCGCAACCGCCGGGGGAAAAAAAAAACGTCACCGACGGCAGCCGCCCCCTCCCCCACCGAAGCGCCCGCAGGCGCACTGCCGCTGCGCAGCACGTGCACGAGCGCCGTGCCGTCGACCGCCACTTCCCCCGAGTCCGGCAGCCACGCGCCCCACCACCCGTACACCGACGCACCCGCCGCAGCCGCAGGGCGCACGCATCATGCAGGACGCCGTGCGAAGCGACGCTGCCTCCCGCAGGCGTCGTGCAGTTTCCGCTTTCCTTTGGCGCGGCGCGACTGTCTGCGCCTCCGTGGCGGCGACGGACGAACCCCTCGCGGCCGCACTCCCCTCACACGCACACGCAGAGAAGTGTGGGGGCGAGACGCAAAAGGCAGCCCCGCACACACGCCGCAGCAGGCGGCACGGCGCCCACCCAACAAGGCACGCGGCGAGAGGGACGGGGCGGTCCAAAGCCCGCCGCACAGCCTGCCGCAGCGGACAAAAAGAAAGAGCCGTCGTCGCCGCAAACTAAAGCTGCCTCTAGCGAGAAGGAGGAGGAGGAGGAAACGGGGGCGTGTCGGCGGCACAGCCAGCGGCGGCAGTGGGAAAAACAAGACGCGGAGACACGCAGCGACAACGGCGGGCACGGCGCACAAACTCAGCGTGAGCCGCAGTGAGTTGCCCCAACGGAAAGAATTAAAACAAAAGAAATGGAGGCCCCGCAACGCCCCTCGCAAAATTAAATGAAAACGAAACGAACTCACTTCGGCAGGTGGTGCTCCTTCACTTTCACGTGTCCAGCAGCACAAGAGGACCGTGAGGGAGTGTGTGTGTATAGTAAGTACCTGCACAAAAAAAAGAAACAACCACCCTGTCGCAAAAGCACACCCCACGTTTGCACCTCACCGTGGCAGCGACCTCTTGCCTCATTTGGGCACTCCGTGCGGCGCACAGCAATGAGGCCGGCACTGCGTGTGTGCGTGTGGGCGTGTGGTGGCGGCAAACAGAGGGGGGGGGGGGGGAAAGGGGTGCGCCGTCCATGGGAAAGTGCATGGAGTGGCGAAGGAAACAAAAAAATCCCTCAGAGCACAGGAGGGAGAGGAGGATTGACCCACAGGGACGGCAAGCAAAATGAAGGAAAGAAAAAAAGCACACTTAAATGAAGAGACCCGCATGGGTCGCAGCGCACACCTCTCACCATGCGGAATCACAATTCCACACTCCTTCGCTCAGAAGCCTGCCGCGACGCCACAAAGCGCCAAAATAGTCAGCAGCGTTGGCCAAGTCACGCACCCACGCAGAACGTTGTCGCTGTCTCCCTCGCTGGGCCTCAAGCCTGCCATGCTCTTGAAGGCAGCAGAGCCGTTGCTTAAGTGCGGTGCAGCGTCGCGCGTCGCAGGGGCAGCCGGAGGTGCGGGTGGCGTGTTTTTATTAGCCGGTGCGCTCTCAACGCCCTGCGGCACTTCCTCATTGTCCCCACGAGGCATTTCAGCGGTGGCAGGCGAAGAAGTGCCGGGTGCCTCCTTTGCGGCGGGTGGTTCGGCGTCGTCGGTCAAAGCAGGGCTGCCGCCTGAGCTCACCGCTGGGCCTGGAGCAGCGTTCTTCTCTTCGGGGTCAATGGCTTGACTCCCACTGGCGGCGGCAGGCTCACCGGCATGCGTCTGACTGCCGCCCGGTGCTGCAGGAGGGCCCACGTTCGATGCGGATGGCGCCGGCGGAGACGCCGAGGCATCCTCGCGGCTTCCCTCTTCTCCAACCCCCTCCTCCTCTGCCGCCGCGCTGGGCGAGGCATGGCCGTCAGGATGCAGTTCGGCGCCACCACCACCGTGACCACCGCCCTCACGTTTGGCCTCCTCCGGTGGCTGCGGCGACTGCGCCCCGCCGCCTGCCACCATCGCCTCGTCACTGTCGCCCGGTGTTTGTATTTTTACTTCCGCCGGGGACGGGGGCGCGGAAGGCGACGACTCCACCACCGGCTCCGGAGAAGAGGGATTTGCGGCGTCTGCTTGAACTGTAGGATTCGGAGGCGCTTGCCCGTCAGGGGGTCGTTGGGGAAGAGCTCCAGCCGCTGGAATACCGTCAACGCCCATTTCCCCAGACTCCTTCTCGGGAGTATCATCGGTGTCCTCCACATCATCGCTGGGCTCGTGGGAGGCAGCAGCCGGCCCTGCGCCTGGCCCCGCAGCAGCCGGCCGTGGCTGAGCGACTTTGCTGTTTTTGAGCTGCGTGATCTCTTTTTCGCCCAGTGCGCGGTTGTACAGCAGGACGCTCGTCACCGTCACGTGGTGGCTGCTCTTCGTGCCCTCCGCCCCGTCCCCGCCAACGTAGAAGTTCGAGATCCTGTGCGGCTTGAAAAGTGTCTTCACCGCCTCAGAAGCGATGCCGTCATCTTCCTCTTCATCGTCATCTTCTTCGCCGTCGTAGATCACCCTCCCGTCGACGTACACAGACAACTCATCGTCAGTATTCATTTGCAGTGCCACCTGATACGTCTTCTCTGCCTCCCACGTTGCCTCATCATCTGTCAAATTCCGGCACTTACCGCCGGCCGTCACTTTCCACTTCTTGTCGCTCGTGTACGAGACACCCAGGAGCACGGTGCCCTCTGTGTCATTCATCCTCACGCCCAGCAGTGGCAGGGAGCTGCCTTCCTCCGCCTCCGGCACCGCGTGGAGCATCACCGTCGCCGCAAGCGTGAACTTGTTGTTCGCAAAGTAGTACGGCTGGTTCTGCCCCCTGCTTCCCACGGGCCACTCCGCCCCCGCCCCGGCGCCGCTGAAAGTCACGCCCCACTCCTCGCTTGTCGCCGTCCCACCTTTCACAGTCGCGTTCACGCCGCGGTACTCGTCCACCCACACAGTCCCGGTCAGTGTGTTGGACAAAAGGCCCACCAGCCCCTCCGTGGGAACAGGAC